GCGTATCGCAGGCAGTGCTGGTGACGACATTAATGTATCTTTTGTGATGTTTCAAAATTACCTAATTCAAATCGAAGGAAAGCTCGAACTTCTGGCAGTTACTAGGGTAGAAAAATAACAACCGAATTATAATAATAAAATAAACTGGAACAATGGCGATTAACATTGGGGAAGATTGCGATGAAATACGAACGACGAACTTGAAAAATTAAGGCTAAATTTTTCAAGATATACAATAGACATTGTAGCATCCAAATACGTACAAGCAAATGTTAAAACATTTTACTTTTAAAGGCAACTATTCAAACAGATCTGGCTGCGCTTTTGAACAAATTTGAAGGCGATAACTACGCTTGGATGAGGCAGCGAATTGAGGGAACCTGGACGTATTGGATAAGTGCTATAGAAGAACTACGACTGAGGGAACATTTTCAGGAACGAAAAAGAAAAAAGGTACAACATGAATATTTAAACATTATTCTGGCTATGGATGTTCAATTGTTTTGTGTTTTTGTTTTTAAGACTTTATTTCATACACTGAAAGTACATACACACACACATAGACTTGCAGCTACTTTCAATTTGATTAACCTATTTACAACTCTTATAATAAGCAGAGGAGAGGTTTCCTATATAGTAGTAGAACTGTTCATTTGACCCTTGGACGTGAAATATGGATCTTTGTACAATGATCTTGTTCTTGACAAAGTCAAAAAATTGAACGAGGTTAGGAGTTTTTAGGCTCAAATCTTTGTAGAAAGATGTGTCTTTTGCCCAAGGAGAGAAAAAGGTACAACATGGATATACAGTAGAACTGTAGTAAAATTACTCTGGCTATGGATGTTCAATTTTTACACACAAAAAATAGTACTGTTAGTAGTTTTGAAACTTGGGGGGCAAACTTTGTAGGATGATATTTTGCTGACGTCATTGTCTACATCTGGAATTTAGATAAGATAACGAGAAATAGCAATCACGTTGTTTGTATTCCTCTCATATTTGCTATACTAGTATTTAGGAACACATACAATTTTCTAGAAATGACAAACAACAAAGCATCATGGATAACGTTGAATCATGAAAGAAACAAACAAACAAACAAAGAAACAAAGAAACAAAGAAACCGATAAAAGAAACAAATAATAAAATCAAACTCATTGATAATTCATGAGTTATTCGTCACGTGCATGAGCTAAAAATAGATCATGTTTTAAATCATACATTTTACAATGTCGACTCACTTACTTTTGTCGCTTTTCACTTTTGACTCAACTGTGCTTGTTTACCTCACCCTACAATAGGGTCCTTTCGATGTATCAAAATTCAGCTTGATAGCGAGGCTGAGAGGACACAAACAAAAGAAATGAATACACAATAAACATGCTTTGTTCCTTTGTTTGTGTCCTCTCAGCCTCGTTACCAAGCTGAATATTAATATATCGAAAGGACCCTATTGTATGTAGGCAAGCAATTCTGAAAAGCCCTGTGTAATTTGTCCACAGCTACTAACCAACTGTTAACAAATGGCGCTAATTAATATAAATAGTTTTAAGACGAGCAAGGTATATGTTTTGCTTTCTGTACTATTGTTATGCGCGATTGAGAAAACCTCGTGCTACGTGTTTCGGTCATCACGATTTTTCAAACTCATTAATAGTTCATCAAGTTAAAACAATGGAAATGTTTACGATTTATTTCTCCATAGTTTCAGTTTTGATCAGAAAGGGTATATCAAACACTCGAGACAATGTTTTATCACATTTCCAAATACCTTAAATCACATTACCAAATACCTTTAATGTCGTAAAAAATACTTCGCTGCGCTCTCTTCTCGGTGTTTGGAAATGTGATGAAACACGACTTTCGAGTTTGATATATTTTACTTCGAAACACTGCATATTACAAGAAATCAAGAATTCTGGACAATTTTACAGGTCTTTATTTACATGGCGAGTTTGGCAGTGTAACAGCCGCCTTCATCTTCGATATGGCCTTTAAGGGAGGACCTTTAGGAGAGCTGGACCCAGTGGTGTGACCTAATAAGTGTCCTTCATATTTTAGGCCATCATCTGACCATCGGTTTACGGAAGGAACATCTCCAGAGGTGAGAAAACGTTTCCACTCCCCAACGTTTTCTCTACATTTGCAATTAGGCAGACTATAGAAAGGCCTTACTAACTAACCATACGGTTAGCGCGTTCGGTTGGAGTAATGGCTAGAGTCGTGTTGTGTTTTTGGGCAAGGCACTTTCCAACTATCAAATTGATACGTTGACTTGCGTTGGGTGGTCACGTCTATTTGCGTACAAATTTGATCTGGTTCAAAGTAGACGCAAGTCGTCCCAAGTCAACGCACGTCCGTGCACTGGTAAAACTTGCGTCTACTTGCGACTCCGTTTGGCCAGGGCTGAAAATTGGTAGCAGTATTTGATTGTGGAATTAACGATACAACAGTTTTTTCTAAAACTGTTTTTTAATACAAATTTTTGTCGTTTTTAGTTCGTTTTATCGTAAATTTAAACCTCGTAGATAGCCTGTATCTAGTTTATTTTACACCAAACCCTTTCATAGTGTTCCAAACTTATAAATTATTCAAGTAACTGGTTTATATTTCTAGCACTCTGCTTCACCCGCCCTCAGATGGTTGCGCGCGCGCACAACATGACGGACGGACTGGATATTATTTTCACTGATATTCATGGTGTTAACCAAATCGCGGCATTATAGGCGGACCGGATTATTCAAGACACAAGTTTGTATAATATGCTGTATATTATGATTTAGTTTAACAGGGCAACCAGGGCCTCTCGATCCGTCGCTCACACTTCGAGCCCGGGCAGGGCCGGGGTAGTTGTTGTTGTGTTTTGTTTTGCTCTTTAGTGGCATCTCTCCACCCAGGAGTATAGATGGGTACGTAAATGTATACTGGCTAATTGTTGGGGCAACCTGACAAAAAAATATCTGGTTGTAGCCTGTGATGGAATAGCATCCCATCCAGGGGCTGGTTGGGCTGGTTGGCTGGTTGGCTGGTTGGCTGGTTGGCTGGTTGGCTGGTTGGCTGGTGGCTGGTTGGCTGGTTGGCGTGGTGGCTGGTTGGCTGGTTGGCTGGTTGGCTGTTTGGCTGGTTGGCTGGTTGCTGGTTGGCTGGTTGGCTGGTTGGCTGGTTGGCTGGTTGGCTGGTTGGCTGGTTGGCTGGTTGGCTGGTTGGCTGGTTGGCTGGTTGGCTGGTTGGCGTGGTTGGCTGGTTGGCTGGTTGGCTGGCTTGGCTGGTTGGCTGGTTGGCTGGTTGGCTGGTTGGCTGGTTGGCTGGTTGGCTGGTTGGCTGGTTGGCTGGTTGGCTGGTTGGCTGGTTGGCTGGTTGGCTGGTTGGCTGGTTGGCTGGTTGGCTGGTGGCTGCTGGTTGTCTGGTTGGCTGGTTGCTGGTTGGGCTGGTTGGCTGGTTGGCTGGTTGCTGGTTGGTTGGCTGGCTGGTTGGCTGGTTGGCTGGATGGTTGGCTGGTTGGCTGGTTGGCTGGTGGCTGGTTGGCTGGTTGGCTGGTTGGCTGGTGGCTGGTTGGCTGTTGGCTGGTTGGCTGGTTGGCTGGTTGGCTGGCTGGCTGGTGGTTGGCTGGTTGGCTGGTTGGCTGGGTTGGCTGGTTGGCTGGTTGGCTGGTTGGCTGGTTGGCTGGCTGGCTGGTTGCGTTGGCTGGTTGGCTGTTTGGCTGGTTGACTGGTTGGCTGGTTGGCTGGTGGTCGGTTGGTTGGTTGGTTGGTTGCCGTTGGTTGGGTTGGTTGGTTGGTTGGTTGGTTGGTTGGGTGGGTTGGTTGGTTGGTTGGTTGGTTTGGTTGTTGTGTTGGGGGCTGGGGCTGGTTGGTTGGCTGGTTGGCTGGCTGGTTGGCTGATTAGGTGGTTGGTTAATTGGTTTGCTTTTTTGTTGGTTGCTTGGTTTGTTTGTTGGATGGTTGGGGAATTCATTCATTCATTTAGTTATTTATATAGAAGTAAATGAAAAATAGTTTCGTTTCTACAGGTGCAAGTTGCGTGTTTTAGACTCATTTGGAACAGATGCGGAATTCAACTACAAACATTACAAGGAAGAGATTCCTGGAGGCAGATCTGTTTGGGGAAATCTCGACCTTCAACTTCCTCAATTAATGACATTGTATCGTGAGTAGATAACACAAATATAATGAATTGTTGGATGAGTAGCTTTAATATATTTGAATTAACCCTATTCTGCCTGGGCTTTTTTCGTTCGTGAGCCTGGGGGGGGGGGGGGGGGGGCAGATAGTGCCCCTCCCCCCCCCCCCTATCTCGCAAGGATCAAAATATTTTGATCCTTTGGGCTTGCGCCTATGCTTGTGTCGCACGTGAAAACTTAACACAAGCACAAGGAAAAAGCAGTGATTTTTGATATGATTTTGAAGGAATCTTGAACAAAACAAAGTTTAGTTCAGAAAATTATCTCCGAAAGTCATTTGTGAGGTATTGTGTTTATTTTGCTTGCCTTGATTCTACGAATCTTACTGGTTAAAAACATCGTTGCCGTGAAAACTGTTCGATTCGTTTTCTAGCGAAAATAACATTATTCGAGCTTTCAGTCAATGAGTAAAACAAATAGATTCATGCTTTCTGTCAGTTAAATGCACATAAACGTGGTTTTAATGATGATCAAATCTTGCTGGTGAATATTTCGTTCTTGTGCTTGTCGCTTGCGTTTGCTTTTTCACTTGCACATAATTCTTGTGCTTGTGCTTGCGTCGCCAGTTGAAAACCAGGCTTAAGCGACGCTCTTGTTGACGTCGTGGCTGCTTAAGGTCCCTAATAGTGTTGATAATACGGTATAGAGCTGTCAGTTACGGTAGAACGGCGTGTACAGTGAACAAGAGAAAGGAGAGGAGTGGAAAAACAGAAGCTCGTCGTTCCACATACAGCCATGCTAGATTCTGGAACAGTTTATAAAACTTTTTAAACAAATTGTTGTTCCGTTGAGGCTCAGTAATATTGGACTTACTGTGGTTGCCTCGGTAGATCAGTGGCTAGAGTACCTGTCCTGAGATCGTGGTGTCTTGGGTTCCATTCCCACTCGGGGTATCTGATATTTTCCAAACATTTGTTCTGTTCATTATCCTGCAAGACATATCAGAGTTAACCTCTCTGACGATGAACAAATAAATATTTACCAGGCATGCGCGACGCATACCTATTCACGCGGCAATTAGTATTAGTATTAGATTTTTTATAGTATGGGATTTTCCCAGGCTAGAAGGCTTGACACGTAAATAAAGTTTTCTATCTATCTAAATACATATTCACTGTATATATGGGAATTCAAACTCCAAATAAAATGACTATTTCTTAAAGCACACAGTCCAGAAAACTCGTTCCTTGGTTTTGCTGTTCCGCGAAGATCAAGAGAACATGAAACCCTTTTAAAAAGAAACAAGACGCGAAATGCGGCTTTGGTTTATGGAAAGTATCCAGGATTTTTGGAAGGTGAGCTTCACGACTAGCTAATTTGACCCCAAGCCAAGTATGAGCTTGTAAATGTTATCATCAACAAATTCCCAAAGCAGCAAAGATTAAAAAAAATTAACCACGTGTAAATAGAATGAAGGTGTCTGAAATTTGGAAAAATTTCGTGTAAACGAGGCTTGGTTAAATTTGACTGAGCAACTGACGTAATGTTATGTTAGAGATTTTCGAAATGAATCAAGAGTCCATTACATAAGAGGAGTCATTCTCTGTTCCCCATGATAATAATTATTTCCGAGTTATATTTAGTACAGGGTCTCGCTCGCACTAGGAAATCTCAGCACACACACGCAAGATTAGGATTTGACAGTCTTTATCTACAATATTACACAAACGTACTCCATCAATGAAACAGCTAACTAAGGTAATTGTAAATGTACAAAAATTAATAACAAGCTGAATAATCATTAGATGACTAGATATACAGCAAAAAAACTAGAATGTCTTATGGAGTGGGTGGGAGAGAAAAAATAGAAGTAAATTGAACATAACTGTGTTAGTAACTGTGGGCGGCTCTATTTGGATACTGGTTTAACGTTTGACTTTAGAGTACTAAATGTCATGACGTCACAAAAATTAAATTTGCGAAATTATGAATTCAGAGGTAGCATGCCCAAAAAATGTCCACTTGCCAAAAATTAGCTCTCCATTGCAATTTGCGGCCGCATGTGTCCGCCGATTTGGTCTAGATTTATATTAATAACATGATGTTAATAACGCTCTATAAAATGAACAATTATAATCGGCCCATGTGTGATTAAAACAAGATCGGAAAGGATTACCTGTGGACAACCCAAACGCTTTCATATCATGTGCCGGTCACGTTTATGTACTATACTAGACCGATAAGTATAATATATGCTGCAATGACAAATACGATTTTTATTCAAACGAAATATTTCGAGCCTGTCATTGAAAGTTATAATTAAAACAACCGAAAAGGCGAGGCCATTCTTATACCGGAACGTCTTGTTTAACGAAAGCTTTCATACGATTTCCAGGGATATACTAACTACATCAATGCAGTGAAGAAACACTTCAGCGAGGTCCACGCCACTTTGGGTGGAACTAAGGTAAGTGATGTAAAAGATTAAACCAAACTGATTGCAAGGCTGGGGGAGTAGCGACACTCTAGTCATTTCATGTTATGGAAACCGGAGTTAAGCACCGGCATGATAATCCACTGGGCTTGTAGAAAGACTTTAATCTATCATAAAAAATAAGTTCAACTCTCAAGTTCGGATTCAAAACTTACTTTCTTCGATTTCTTTATAGGAGAATCGACAACAATATGTGCCTGAATATGTGATAGATCATGGAATTGTAAATATTACAACGCTTATCAATTTGTTGGAGTCTAGTAAGGTAACGTAACATTCCGATAATAGCTTACTTTCTTTAGAGCCTTTTGATGGGAGGTTAGTGGTTTCGGAGAGGGGGAACTTATTATCGCATGTTGGGGCCGGTTAAAATATGGTTGTGCATATTTTTGGAAGGGATCTTGTGCCGTTTAGGTGCATATATTAAAGGGACACTGTCCTGATTTTAGCATGATTTTGGGAAGCTCAGAAACATATCTAGATCATAGGAAGTTGAACGGATCAGTTTTCCCCCTTAGAGCCCCCCATCCTGCGCACCCCAAGAGGTTCCGCCCGAGTTCCTGGTATCAGAGAGTGAAGTACTGAAAGCCCTCCAAGCAGTCAAGACCCGTAAAGCTGTTGGACCGGATTTGATTCCTAACAGAGTGCTAAAGGAGTTCGCTCCAGAATTAGCCGCAGTAGTACGTGACATTTATAACTCCTCCCTAGTTGAGGGCTACTTCCCTGACTCCCTGAAAGCCGCCATACTAAACCCGATTCCTAAGATTTCCCCTCCACAACAAATCGAGAAAGACCTGCGCCCAATCGCTCTCACCTGCGTGTTAGCTAAAGTGATGGAGGGTTTCACCCGTGTCCGTCTGATTTCCCAAGGTTACTAACAAGATCGACCCACGGCAATAACGCGTGCGCTGGCCGGTCTACTACCGATGCTCTGGTTTACCTCCTTCAAGCGGTGTATGAAGCAGTCGACACTGGGAACAGTGGCGCAAGGCTATTTATGGCGGATTTTCTCTAAGGGTTCGACATGATCGATCACGAAGTTCTCATCAAGGAATTAGAGCAATTAGACGTGCACCCCGTTTTGGTAAATTGGATTAAGGCCTTCCTAAGCAATCGAACCCAGGCTGTGAGAATAGGGAACACTGTGTCTGATTGGAAGACCCCTAAGGGAGGTATCCCCCAAGGCACCAAGTTAGGAGTAATCCTATTCTCTATTATGACGAACAGCCTCCTACGTGCTTGGAACCTTAGAATTAAGTTTGTCGATGACACAACAGCCTTAGAAATCATCCCTAGAAATAGTGTAAGCTTGCTTAACTTTGCTGCCAACGATAGTTTTGAATTTTCAAACGAGCACAAGATGAAACTTAATCCTTCTAAATGTAAAGAAATGTTGATCAATTTTATGAGTAACCATAATTTTGTAATTAACCCTATTATACTTGGAAATAATGTAATTGAACGAACTTCAACATACAAACTCCTTGGAGTTTACATCAGCAGGGACTTAAAATGGGACTACCACATAGACTATATTGTTAAAAAAGCGAACAAAAGACTATTTTCTCTAAGGATACTAAAGCAATGCGGGGCCCCGCCGGTAGCATTAGCCAAAGTATTTGCTACAATAGTGCGTCCTATTTTAGAATATGCTGCCCCTGTCTGGCAGAACATTCCTGACTTTTTAGATAATAATATTGAGAGAGTCCAGAAGAGAGCCATGTTTATTATTTGTCCTTCCCTCGACTACAGGGAGGCATTTACAGCTGCTGTCGGCCTCACTTCATTGAGAGAACGGCGCCAACATCTTTGCCGGCAGTATGTCAGTAAACTTCAGGATGTAAATAGCCCTTTACATTTTCTTTTGCCTCGACGTGAGGAGGTGGTACATAACTATAACTTAAGAACTGGCACAAGTCGTAGGCACCATCAAGTCTTGCAGAACGAAGCGTTCTCAGGACTTCGTCACTTTTCGATATTAATCTCGAACTAGCTTGTTTATAATAGAACCTTATATTGTATATATATTGTAATTAATAGTTTATATTTATACCTTGTATTCTACTCTGTAATTCAGTTCTTACTGCCAATGAGTTTTCATTAAACATTACATTACATTAACAATAATGGTTTAATTCTGTAGAATAGCACTCGACAAAGGACAGGAACCCATTAGGAAGTGAGGATGACAAACGACAGCGAGGATGGAAATGGATTGCAATAATGGATTTTTGAAAAAACGTTAGGATGTCTGTTTTTCAAAGTTTCAAATTTGGCTCGCGGAAATCTTTGAAATTTTGCAAAAATTTTGTTGCAGTATGGAAATTCTTGCGGAAAGAAATTGCTTTTTATCATTTAGTTAGAGTTTATTAAGCTATTATTCACTAGATTTAGGGACCATTTCATGCATTTATAACAGTTTTGAGCAAATACGCCGGGACAGTGTCCCTTTAAGAATACCACATTTTTTTTTTTTTTTTTTTTTTTTTTTTTTTTTTTTGAGTAAGTAAAGACTTATTGAGTATTATGATTACTTATGCTACTTTATACAATTGGAAGCTCTACTTACAATTCCTTACATTACATACAATACGATACTTACATTACTTACAATACGATACTTACACTACTTACAATACGGTACAAAAGAAAGAACACTACTTACAATACATACTACAATACTATTACAATGCGGCAATTTACAAAACTCTTACATGATTCCTTTCGCTATTACACACAACAATTTTTACTACTATTATACTCAAGATCCAGCGGCTTTACACTGACTGTGATTTTCTTTACTTGTACGGCATAGCTTTTCTAATACAAAATAGATAAATGGTAATAAGGAGGAGTCAGTTTCTCGGAAGGTTAGAGTAAATAGATTATGATTAGAGTGTTTTGGAAAAAAATTTGTTAGATTAGTTTCCGACGCAGTATTTCGGGAGGAATTTATCGACAAACTCTGGAAGAAGAATAGCCTTATTATGTAGTTTACATGTATAGAGAATACCACATGATAACTAGTTATCAAAGACAAAGCAAAAAGTCCTGCCGGTACGTCATGAAATAAACATCAAAACTATTTGCATATTCTGTAACGATATAACATACAAAACAAGTTATACAATAGAGGGATTTATAATCGAGGGGTTCTTGATATAAATTCGGGGAGGTACCAGGAGTATGGCGAGAATCACTGATTGGATCGAGCACGAGTATCTTAAAGGAGCTATGTCACGATATTTTACGTCATTTTTGCGAAGTGTAAAATCACCTTTAAATCGGAAGAAAGCCTGAAAATAATAGTTTACTAAGGTAGAAAAACACCAAAGAGATGATAATAAACCAAACAGGAGCAAGGATGGTTGAGGATGTTGAAGATTAAGGCGGATTGCAAAATGGCAAACTTGAAAAAAATTGCCATTTTTTTTTCAAGATGCGCCATCCGTGACATAG